ATAACATTAACAAAAATTCAATGGAAAGTTCCTCACGTGACCGTTAGCGATAGCGCCAAAATTAGCCTATACGAACGCATCAATAAGGATGCTATAATCACAATGCCATTTCGTCAATGGGAACTGTACGAATTGCCCGCTTTAAAACAGGCACAGTCGGATATATGGCCAATCAAAACTTCAACTCAACTAGAGAAACCACGATGGATAATTGTGGCATTTCAACGAAGCGGTAAAAAGTTTTCACACGAAGCAAGAGCGGCCAATTTCGATAACATCAATATTCGAAATTTAAAACTGCATCTCAACTCGGAAAGTTATCCGTACGAAGCGATGCATTTAGATTTTAATGCCAACAAGTACATCATTGCATATCAAAACTATTTAAACTTTCGGCGCGATTATTACTCGAAAGATGAGCATCAAGACGCCCTCTTTGACTATTTGTATTTTAAAAGTTGCCCATCTTCGTGCTGGACTGTTCAAAGCAAAACGAATCTCTGAAGCATTCGGCGGTAGATGTTAAGTTGGAAATGGAGTCGATGGAGGCCTTCGAGGCGGGAACGGTTGCCTATTGTCTGATCCTGCACGACGCACTAATTCAATACAATCCTCTGACCGGGGAAGTGAAGAAACTATAATTTGTATTTATTTAAAATGTATAAATAAAATGTAATGATAAAAAATGTTCGTAGTCTTATTTCAACCGCGACCCCAAAATGAAGGTAGTGATGCAGAAGCAAAAGCTGCTCGTTCAAAATCTCGACACGACGCCAAATGTGGACCACAAAAAAACCCATGGCGTATTACTTCCAAACAGCGTAAGATGCGTCATTTGTGGACCGTCCAATTGTGGTAAAACGAATACGATGCTCAGTCTGCTAACTGAACCTAATGGTCTTCGCTTCAAACACGTGTACGTCTATTCCAAATCGCTGAATCAAGACAAATATAGGGTTTTGGGGGAAATTTTGCAACCAATGAAGGATATTGGCTTCTTCACATTCAACAAGAACGCGGACATTATGGAGCCCAGTGCTGCTAAACCTAATTCGGTTTTTATCTTTGACGATATCGCTTGTGAAAAACAGGATAACATTAGAGCATACTTTTCAATGGGCAGGCATAACGCCATCGATTGTTTCTACTTGGGTCAGACGTATTCTAAAATTCCTAAACAATTGATTAGAGATAATGCCAACTGAATTGTCCTATTCGAACAGGACGACTTGAATTTGCGACATATTTATGAAGATCATGTCGCACCCATAATAACCATGCAGCTGTTTCGAGAGATGTGTTCGGAAAGCTGGCGAACCCCGTATGGGTTTATGGTGATAAATAAGGATGCGGATGTGCAAAACGGTCGTTTCAGGAAAGGCTTCGATCACTATATAATACCATGAAAACATGTTTATTGTTCAGTTCAACTGTAACAGCTTTAACAGCTTTACCAGCTTTTAACAGCTTTAATACCTCTAACAGCTTAACAGCTGAACGGCTTTAACTAACAGCTGAACAGCTTTAACCGCTGAACAGCTTAACAGCTTTATTGGGGGGAACAGACCCTGTTCCAGTTGATCTGTTCATTTGATATCGGTTTACCTGTTCCGTTGATCATGGATAATAAGGAGATGGCCTTGAAACGACGAATAGTTCAGGCGCGTAAAGCGATACAGCAAAAGTACAATCGTCTCAAAGCGGATCGTTTTATTAAAGAAGTGGAATTTGTACGAACGTATAAACCGCTAATTCAACCGCTAGCTCAGATCGTAAAGAAAATCGAACCGCCATCATCGGTTATAGAAACGAAAAAGGAGGAGCCATCAGAGGACGAAGTATTTACATCACCCCCTAAAAAACGTCAATCTCCTGTAAAAAGAAAGTCACCACAACAACGTACGACTCCTGCGATACCTTATTACTCGCGAATGAGACGAAGGCCCTCTTCCCTTACCGAGATCAGTCCGCTGGCTAGACTTCCCTACTTTCAAAAATATCCGCCAACTGATATTAGTCCTATGGTTAGACCTTTTCACCCCACGGCTACTCCATCATTGAGACAGCCGCCATCATTTCTACAGAGTACAGTGATAGGAGAGCATCAACTGGAGGAAGAAGAAGACGAGTCCTCTATTGCATCAGAATCATCTGCTTCATTACTTGATATGCAAGGTTCGCAAGCCTTTTTGGAACAATACAAACACCTACCACGTATATACGTTGAGCGCATGATAAGAGATACGAGTAATGCAATTGACACCACCTTTGGAATTCATTATAATGTCGAAACGGATAAGTGGAGAATGGGCAAGACTGAGGTGACGATAGATGACGAAGATTTGGTCATTAACGGGAACCGGTACAAAGGTACTGCGGGGCTATACGAACTTATCATCATGAATGAACCGGATGAATCGCTAGTATCCAAGCAGGATAGAAGTAACTATAAGCAGATAATAATAGCAACTCATGTCGCACGGCGCAATTACGACCCCACCGAACAGATTCGTGGCAATAAGAGCAAAAAGTATACGCTGATAATAAAGCCTCTACTGAAGGAGGAGGAAGCGGCGAATAGGGGGCGTGCGAAATCGGGAAGCGGTATTACTCTATTCAAGGAACTCGACCGACCGATCGAATACAAATACTGGAATAGCGTGCATGAATTGATTAGGGACCTAGAGGTTTTATGGGGTGAAAAAATGGCAGGCAACACAGGAGTAAAAAATGATATAATATCAATCGTGGAAGAGCTGTACGAGGAGGGTTACATACAAAAGCCTACGCAGCGATTTTTATCTCAACTAGTATAAATACCCCATTTCCGTCTTCCCCGCTTACATTCATCATGGATAAATTCGGACGTTCTCATACCCATGCTCAATTTGGAAAACTGTTAAAGACAAAATTTTCCATTACCAACGATACGATAAATGTGGAAAATAAGAGACTAAGTAATGTTGTCGACCCTATTGAACGTCATGATGCCCTAACCTTACAACACTACCTATCAACAAGACTGAATCTTAACGGAAACCGGTTAATGAATGTGGCCGATCCAGTAGACGATGGCGATGCCATAAATAGAGGATACTTCATGTATTACATGCAGATTGCGAAAGTACCTGTAGACGGTCTTCGCAATTACGTGGAGGCACTAGAGGAAGAGTTGAAGGCGGTCAAAGCAACCCTACATAAACTAATAGAGGATGCAGCAAGTGGTAAATGAGCTACATAAAGCAGCACGAAAAAACTTCGCACGTAGACGTACCATCATTAAGGGATTTGATGATCTTTGGCAAGCCGATTTGGCCGAATTTATACCTTACGCTAAACAGAATAAAGGCTACAAATACATACTGATAGTTATCGATTGTTTCTCAAAATATCTGTGGACGAGAGGATTGAAGACTAAAACGGGTGAGGAGGTGACAAAAGCCATACAGGATATTTTCAAAACTACCAGACGGAGACCGAAAAATCTACAGACCGATGCCGGGAAGGAATTCTATAACAAATCATTTGACAAATTGATGGCGCGAGAACACATTAATCACTATTCCACGTACAGTACAAAAAAGCTGCCATAGCCGAAAGAATAATTAGGACGATCAAAAATTATTTATACCGACAGTTTAGTCTACGTGGAAAATATGTATGGATTGATGCAATTGAATCAATCACGAGCGAGTATAATAATCGTAAAAATCGAACAACGGGGATGAAGCCGATCGAAGTAAAGGCCGATACACAGCTGAAGGCCTACAGACACATCAAGCTCTTTAACAAGAAACATCGTTTTAATGTTGGCGATGTAGTTCGAATTAGTAAGCACAAGAGTGTGTTCGCCAAGGGATATACTCCGAACTGGTCCAGTGAACTGTTTAAAATTGCAAAAGTCCAAATAACCAATCCCGTGACGTACTTGTTGGAAGACATGAAAGGAAAACCGATACTGGGAGGATTTTATGAGCAGGAACTGCAAAAAGCTAAGTATTCCGATATCTATTTGGTGGAGAAGGTGCTGCGACGTAAGAAAGATAAAGTGTACGTCAAGTGGTGGGGACTGGACGAAAAATCTTGGATAGAAAATGATAATATCGTATTGTAATTTTCGCTGTAAATTAATAAATAAAGAAAACAAAAGCTTTTTTGTACTTTTTTTATTTTGCTTTCCTATTACCATACAACATATTTTTCTTTTTTTTTAGTAAAGCTATCGTTATTGATAATTTTTTCAAGCATATCGTACGTTTTCTTATAATCACTCAGCAACGTTGAGGGCCATACAGTGCTATCTGGACCACACCTCCAACCAAGCAGAGCGTTATGATCTTGTGTGCCTCTCCTAATGTTCTCCAATAGCCACTCGTAGATTTTGCGATGGTAGTTATTTTGACGTGGATTAAAATCTATTTTAACGTGCGCCTCCTGGCAAACATCAATCAATATTTGCAGCGCATTGAAGTTGGCATACTCCGCAGCTGTACATATGGCTTCGTTAATAACTTGCGAACTATCCTTATAAATACTACTAATTACATTATCTACACTGTTTCCTCTTAAATTTACTATAAACATTTCAAAATGCATTGATACACTAGGAGTATGAACATCAGCAAAACGATCACCGTTTACTCGTGAATAATGATTCATTAGATAGTCAAGTTCGATCTTTTTGTGAAATAGTAATTTAACCATTTCTTTACACACATTTTTCGCTATAGCACACCATCTAAAACACTCATCTGGAATAACAATATTCTGTAAAATATTGTTAATGAGAAAGTAGGTGTCGATAGAAAAGGATGATGTGTTTAAAACGACACTCTTCAAATGTGCAAAGTATATTGAGCTTGACGCAAAAAGGATTTCTTGTTCCAATCCTCGATCGCCGCCACCAGTGCTTGTCATCTTTATAGGGTAAAAACACACAACTACAAAAAGGAAAGGATAGACACCAAAATTGATTAAATAAGAGGTTGTGGAACACACTGTTAAGTAGAAAAGTTATATCCCCAAGGGAGGGTGTTAATACAATCTAAACTAATTTGTCGTTTATCATCATACGGACTTAAAACCACCTTATTCTGTTTGATCGTGAATACTAAATGTTTTCGGGATTTTATTAAATATTGAGGCCGTGTTACTACCGCATTGTTAAATATGCTGTTTTTATAGTCCTCCAAAGTTATTTCCCGGATACTGGCATAAGTTGAACCTTTGGACCTCTTGAATACCTTACCGTCCACGAGATAAGAGTACATTTTCGCTCTAAGCCCTACAAACTCTAGCATTATTTTTCCATTGTTCTCGTCCTTCATCAGCCCGGGGACTTTTTTATTAACCAGGGGTATGCCAAAAACGTTATTATGATTATAATTCGACGTATCAAACTTATCGATGTTTTCTCTTATGGATTCGTAAATGTCTGGAACTGAAAATGAGTAGATCAAACTATCGGTGTCGGTATATAATAGTTTTGCGCAATCCTTGAACTCTTTTAAAACGAAATTGTAATGAAAATCATAAAGAATAGTTTTTGATACATCTAATACGGTTAAGCCTGCATAAATGGGTTTGTTGAGCAGTACTTCCAAACGATTCATTTCTATGATTGCTAGATCTTCATTGTCATCGAAAAGCATACAGCTTTTAAAGTTTGGTTTGGATATATAAGCACCGGCGCCGTACCTACCGCCCCACTTGTTTACCAAATGCACATCTTTATATTTCCTTACGTTCTCCATCAATTTACCAAATACACAATTTACCATTAGTTTATAAAAATTGATATCGAATTCATTCGTAGATTCTTGTCGCTTTTGCGTATTTAAATCGATATACTTTTTTAACCAAGGCGATTGTCGAAATCTTAATACGCGATTAATTTTATCGAGTCGTAATCCGTGCTTTATGTACTGCTTTAAATTTCTGTAATGTAAAACGTAGTTCTGTTTTGAATACAATGTCAGAAGTAATTTCTTAAATTTACCATTGGGGGGAGTTCGGTGTTCGGGCGCAAGTGGAAGATCTTTATGAAAGGAGTGGATATTCGTGGGATAATTTAGATCACAATCTAAAATGTAGCCGATTTCTGCGTTATCGGGGTGGTTCAATATATCTAACGTTTCAAATGAATCCTCATCTACAAAGGAAAACTCTCCGTACGGCAAAAATTCGCACATTGTGGCGCCATATAGAGAATTTACATCAAAATACATTAAGTAGGTCGATTCAAGTTCGGGGCGGTAACCTTCCTTCATATACTTATTATTAGCCTTCGCGTATCTCGTAGAACATTGCGTTATACCACCGCGAATTCCTCTTTCGATGAACATTACTTGATCTATGTCAGTTAAAAGCTCTAATTGAACGTCGGTAATTTTCAACATCGCGTCGAATGCAAGACCAGGGGCGCTAAAGTAGTGAAGAGGGTCCAATTTATAAGTCTGTAGACATGTATTGCGAAAATTTTCAAAAATATCCGCCAAAAGCAACACGTCAGTTTTCAAATACAAATCTGAAAATTGTCCGAGAGTCTCTATGGAAAACGAGTTCCATATATTTAAAGCATGAGTGTAATCATCTTCGCTAATTTCTTCACCGCGCAATGAACTGAAGAAGTTATTTTTAGGAGGTAAACAGCGCTCATTTAACTTTTCAAAGCAATCGACGTATTCATATGGGAATACACCTTTCCGTGTAAGTAACTCGAATTCGGATTCACCGCCGACATACTCCGAGCGCGTTATATTTTTTTTGTCCTTACTTAAATAGGACGCAAGCTTATCAATGCTACTACTCATAAAGCGAAAGGAATCTATAAATCTAAAAATAATCTTCGTATCTTGCACGTGTTTCGAAAAGGAGATATACTTCTCTTTGTTTAAAGGTAAAACTTTTATTTGGCCAGGTATAGCGGTTGCAAGTTCGCGGATAATGAAATGGGCATCGTACCCACTGAGATTATGAAAGACCACAGGGATCGCGTGACTGTTTTGGTAGTTTACATTACAGGACTGGTGCGAAGCAGAGCGATACCGCGAAGTGAAATGGCAATGATCCCTACAACGAATTTCATTTTCCAAAAAAGGTTTCTCACAAATATGACAATGGGTGGCGTTTTTGAAATCTTCCTCTTGAGCTTCACTCAATGTTTCCATCGGTAGGGGATTGTTAATAATTGCATTAGCCCAGAGCGCGATGTTGTGTAGATTGTTTACAAACCACGATACACAATCCGCGCCTCTGTATAACGAGAATCGCGATAATGAATTGTCATATGCACATTTGAGATAAAAAGCTACGCTGTAAGGTACGTGCTTTTGAAATAGTTTTGTGTTTTCCCCACTACCGCAAACGGTATCACAATTCTCCAGAAGGCATTCAATATCTGCATAAATCGCGAACGGAACTTTTTCCTTATTAGAATAATGAGAGAATTTTAAAATTTTCTCCGATTCGGAAGGTACTCTTACCGCACATTTATTTATGTCATGACAACGAACCGTGTGCTTTTCCAGTAGGCGATTCGATGAAAAATGATTTAAACAAATATTACAGAAAAACTTTGCGTGTCCCCTATTGGATAATTGTGACGATAGTAAACGGGATAAATTTTTAATCCACGCAAAGTGAAAGTAATTAGTATTTTTTGGGCAAATACGATTTTTTGGAGCCTTATTGTTATTAGAAGATAATACCAATAAATTGATTGCGTTTGCCCGCGCTTCACGATTTTCACTCAACATGAAAGGAAGGACTTTTCTCTTTTCTAAGCAATACAAATTAATGGCAAGATTATTCAATCTTTCGAATTTTTTTATATCGTTTAGTTGAATGGGAAACGTAATGGGGCCACTATTCAAAACGGTATCGAAATGAGGATAACTAGAAGGTCTATCGGGATTACGTTGCGCTGGATAAAGAGCAGAGACTATTGACCACAAAAAACAATACTTGTCGTTATTTTTAACATTAATAATGGCTTTCTTACGCGCTATAAATGGAGGAAGTCTTACGTAGGTGCTAAAGCTTCCCACTCGAATGGGTACGTATTTATTTACGTTTATTTTTAAATATAAAACCTCTATTAAACTCCAATTTGATAACTCTTCCTGAAACAAATCTAACTTTGATCTCAATCTGTCAATGACCTGAGTCTGATACCACTCTTTTAGATTACTACCTATATCGAGAACGCTATTCCTTGTGGCAAACGTTTTCAGGTCCACATTAAGATTTTGAGGATGTAAAAAATCACAGGCGAGCACTACGTTTACCTTAAGCATAGATTTTCTTAGCATGGGTTTAATTTTTCGTACAAGGTTGTTAAATGCCTTATCCAAGAAAATAAATGGATCTTTGTAGATCGTATTCACAATAATTCCAGTAAGCATTCTACCTTTAAAGCAAGAATTTAAAGTCTGCCAAATTAGAGGGTGTGAAGAGGGGGCGGCGGCAGGTATTCCACAACCTCTTTTAAGCGAATTATCTTTTAATTGTTGCCGTAACTTGGCCAAATAAAATTTCAACGTTCCAAGATTAGATTCTAATCTAATAGGATTTTCAACGTGACTATTCAAATGGATGTTATTATTAATAGCATTTTGTAACAAAGAAATATTTTCCCTTATTAGCCTTATATGCCTCAAAATTTCGTGCTTATGTTTTAATAATGCAATAGCTTTTCGCGTTAGCTTAACTATTTCACTACTAAGACTCGCAACGGACATCGGTTCCATTTTTACCACTTACTAGGTATAGCTAAAAAAAAAGGAGGGTTTGTTATAATAGCAGATATCTCTTGGAGACTATCCTTGAACTTTTACAGAAGCTTTTTGCACTCGACACACTTGTTGATAGCGATAAACTCGTCGCGGACGGTTATCGCAAACTATAAGCACGCGCGAGTGTTTGAAAATGCGAATAATCCGGTTAGCTCTGATTGCCACCTTATATAGCGTAAGTGGCATAGGGGGTTTCTGCAGGTGTTCATACAAAGACGTCTATTGATTCCCAGAATCATCTATCGTTTTCTCACTTATTAACACGTTTCGTCCTTAGTTTCTCGCTAACGACATCAAGACTTCTTTAATATATAGGTTCAAATTTGTTCCGTAATTATTAGTTAACGTCAAGCGCGCACATAATGATGCCATCACGCTCAAAACTTTCAATAAAAAAAATCTGAGCCGATGCGATCCCCTACACCGCCGCCGCCACCACCAATACAACCATCAACCGAAACAATGGAACCCTCAGTCGTAAATTAAAAAGGCCAAAAACGATCGTAAGTTTTTACCAACAAAAAACGAATTTCACATAGTAACATTCTATCGATTACAGACAAAGCAGGGATGGCTCAGGGGGTGGCCACAAAAAATCTCAATCTTATTGAGATTGACCTGGAAGAAAGGGGATTCCGCCCGGAAAGACTCTCCTCGTCTCCATCTTTTGCGACGGGGGCACCAAGGACGCCGAGAGAATTGGCCCTGAAAACATATGGGTGGCTAAAAAATATGGAGCCCATTTACCGGTCTAAATTGATGGATGCTCGAAATCATACTGACTTACAGCGCCGGCTAGATACTTCTACAAAAGAAGAAAAGCGGCTGCAATTCATTGAAGATTTCTTAAAATTTGTAAAAAAATAATAGGTACTTGTGTTTGTCAATGAATAAAGAGATAATCTGTTTATTTGTTGTTGTTGTGTGTGTGTGTAAAACGACGTTAGCCAGGTAAATAGTTGGGAGAGTGGAAAACAACCAAAACAAACTGTGCAGCCGCCAAAAAATGGACGGATGCATGTTCTAATCAAAAGCCCTTTATAGTAGTGCGTACTAAGTTGTATATCAAGAACGTACGTGAATGAAAACACAATGAAGATTTTCCACGCTAAGTTTTTTTTATAAGCACGGGCGTTGAGTGTTCGTTATTCAATGGGCACGGGTCTTACGGCAATGCGTACTAAGTTGCATATAAGGAAGATTTTCGGTCCTTTTTTTTAGCACGCCAAAGTGCGTTTATTGGCAATAAGCAACAAAACATAATAAGATCAACATGAAGATATCTTTTATTCCTTTTTACGGTATTCCTACAATAATACAAATTAAGTACACATAGAAATTATACGAGCAGTTGCGTGTGAGCGAGAAAATTCCATTGCAGATTTTTATTTGTATGTAGTCGTACTCTACTTAATTTGCGCTGCACTTCAAACACCTCCAGGTCCCATTTGAATTTTTTAATTCTCCTTAACAAATCGTCTATGCGTATTTTTCTTCGATGGCGGTCTTCGGGATCAATCATCATTACTTTTGTCATTTTCTCTGATGCCAGTATAGAAATGACTTGTAAAACGTTCACTCATGTCCTTTATACTTGATTTTAGTGAAGAAATGAACCCACGAATTAGCAACACTCAGAACCATCAGGAAACGGTTCAATCACATACACAACTAGACACAAACCAGCGCAAGTTTAAAAGGAAGCAGTTTAGTTCAGGTGAATAACCTTTAGCGATGAGTAACCGAAATCAATAATCAATCAACACGAGCAATACCCATGAGGAGAATCCACTATATGAGAATAGCAGTTTCAAACCTAGTTACTTTTCTAGTGACTTGAAACTAGCAGAGTTTCAAACCTAGTTACCTTCGCACATCTAGTGATTTTCTGAGTTTGAATCGGTCTTATCACTAGCAGAGTTTCAAACCTCTCTAGTGACACTTTAGTTCAGGACACAACCCGCGTTCAACTCTTAGGTCGGACACAAACCTCCGATACTTTAGCTCAGACGCAAACCTCGACCCCCTTGACGTTAGCACTGGCGCAAACCTCGCCAGCAGAGTTACTTTTCTAGTGACTTTTTCGTGTCTAGTGACTTTTTGATTTAGAATCGGCCCCTATATCACTAGCAGAGTTTCAAACCTCACGCCGAGTTTCAAACCTCTCGTGACCTTCTAGTGACTTTGAGCAGAGTTTCAAACCTAGTTACTTTTCTAGTGACTTTTCTAGTGACTTTTGAGTTAGAATCGGCCTTATAACACTACTGATTACCTCATGTAGTTTTTTCAAACTACGTTTTAAAAATAATATCGTCTAAATGATGGCCTTGCCGGGCAATACAGATATTGAGCCTTTCGTGGAAGTTTCGCATGACTTTCTCAAGTGTGGTGGAGGTTATCTGGGCGATTTCTCCCTCGATTGCGGTTTTGAGGTCTTCCAGGGTCCTTGGACGATGTTTGAAAACCTCGGCCTTGAGGTAACCCCATAGATAAAAATCACAAGGGCTTAAATCGGGGGAGCGCGGGGGCCACTGAATGGGCTCATGCAAGGAGACCACCTGCCCGGGGAACATCTCCTGGAGAATAGCGCGTGAACGACGGGCTGTGTGTGCTGTAGCACCATCTTGTTGGAACCAGAAGCTCTCACGTTCATGTTCCTCACCGAATTCTTCGATTTTTGGCCTCAAAAAATTCTCAAGCATGTCACAGTACCGATCAGAGTTCACAGTAATCGTGACACCACCCTCCTCAAAAAAATAAGGCCCAATGATGCCTACAGACGACAGTGCACACCAAACTGTGACCTTGGGGCTGTGAAGGGGTCTTTGGTGAAGCTCTCGAGGGTTCTCAGCTGCCCAATAACGGCAGTTTTGCTTATTCACACACCCTGACAGATGAAAATGAGCTTCATCGCTAGTCCACAAAACCGCAGTGGGAGGCACTTGTTGAAGGATCGCCTCACAACATTCCACACGTCGCCCCCAGTCTGTTGGGGACAATTCCTGGGCAACCATGATCTTGTAGGGGTGCAAATTGAGGTCAGTATGCAAAATCCGCCTCACTGTTCTCGCCGAAATCTGAAGAGCAGAAGCATGTTTTCTCGCAGAACGCGTAGGACTCTGTTCGATCGACGCCCTCACTCGAGCAATGTTTTCAGGGGTTCTAACGGTGACAGCTGGGCCTTTCTTCTTTGAATTTAGCGCAGATCCTGTTGCTCTAAACTTTTGCACCCAAGACAAAATTGTTTTCCGGTCGGGAACACTAGCAGACGACGACAAACTGTACCTTGTACGGAATGCCCTCAAAGTAGCAGTTACAGATTCACCATTTTTGAAAAAAGTCTCGATAATGAACGCACGCTGCTCACCTGACCACGGCATGGTAACGACTGAAAACTACATCACTCACCGCTCCGAACGAGACCTACCCCACTCCTCTACAACCGCCCATATCCCAACAGCAGTTTTTTTTAATGTGGGAAGTTCCCGTGCCCCACCCTGTATATCTTCCTCTGATTTGAAAGACTCCACTATACAATTTATTAAAACACTTCTATTTAAATTACTGGTTTGCTTTTGAAAAGGCATTTTAGATTTAAAAAAATTATCTAGTACAAAAATTCTACTCACGTGATATGATATAGGTAGCAGTACTTAACAAAGTAGTGATACTACTCACTCTTTCGGAAAAAAATTTCTTTAAAACACTCTGTAAGCTCTGATACCACACACTACACGACTGAAGACTTCCAGTAGGTATAATAAACAAATTCTTTCATTCATGTTCCAATACACCTTCTTTGGAAGACTAATTGCTCTCATCGTCATTAGGGTTAAGCGATTCATTATGTACCTATTTCCTGTAATTAGTTTAATCGATCTAAATCCTATTCAAATCTTCCAAATATAATGGCGAAGGGAAATTTTCTAATTGAATGTAATTTAAATTTTACTATCCCTATCTTAATTGTGGAAGTTGAATGAAAGTTTGAATTTAATACACTTACGTTTTCAACTAGATTCACTTAATTACATTGCAACATTTTAAAACAATGAATAGTGACGCCAGAATGTCGTGTTTTTGTTCAAGGGGAAAATTAATATTAAATTTCATTTGAAGTCAAGTCAGAATTACGAGTACCTACGGGGTGTCAATTTTAAAACTTGCAGTCGGCCATATTTTCCAAAGTAAAGAAGGTATTTAAAATTGCTCAAAACCGTTTCGGGGATATCGAGGGGCAACCAGAATGACGTTATGAGTAACAACACCCCCCCCCCCCTCTTCAAAAATCCTAAATGGTATAACCCTATACTTGTGACACATCCTTGGAAAGCTACTGAAAAATGCTTTCCAGTGGTACCAATAAAGTCGATATTCATTAAGACAATTTAACAACAAAAATGTAATAATTAACAAAAAAAACTAAATGTTGTCATTGAGGGATTTATGGCAAATTGGCCAAGAACTTCAACCTGAACTGTTTCATTAAGCAATCTTGGTTGCTTTCTTTTTTATTGAGTTACAGTACCTACAGCTGAACGTGTGGAAATAATATTCATTTATGCGGCTCCGAAAATCGATCATCTTTTAGAACAGCTAGAACGTTATAGTCATTCCGGGAGAAATAAATGTAAGCCATGCCTATGATCAAGATTTGGTCGCTAAATTCCAAGAAACGGGTGTCACCCTGTATATCTAAAATGCTGAGTAAGAAAGAGTTGGCCCGTTTTCATATTCTTATTAGCCTTGAAGGTTGAAGTTACTCTTTGGTTGAAGCTTGATTTCCTATTTTTAGGTTGTACTACATTTTTACCACCAAAATTGCAGTCATTTAATGTTAATATTCAATTTCAAATATTCAACGATTATATCCCATTATATCCCTGGTTGGTCTCTAAACTCAAAAATTTTAACTTGGAAGCCCTACTCCCTGTGTTAAGAGGCCGTCGTACGCG